CACTTGAGAATCCGACCACTGACGTTACCGTTCTTGGATCCAATAAAGCGAGGAGTCTATAAGAAGCTCAAGGCCAAAGGTCTAGTAGATGGAAAATGGACAGTAGCATTTAGGAGCGATGAGTTTTGTCACTCTGCTTACTCAATGGTTGTACATGAGATGGATCTACAGTGCAGCGAGGTTGAAAGGAGGTTAAAGCTATTGTTTGACCTTGATAGAAACCAGCAAGATCAGTCAAACATTACTTCTGACGCCATCCCACCTTCATCTTCGTCTTCTTCCGGCTGATCTTATTTTTCATTGCATTCATAACGGATAGATAAATCTCCAGTCCTTTAGGACAGTTTCCATGAATTTTTCAGGTTTATTTTTTCTTTATCTCTGCATTTTCTTTTTGTTTTGTTATTTTTATCCATTCTTTTTGTAATGTCTTAGTGTGATATCATTGTATATTTGCAAGTGCAACAATCCATTAGTGATTTTCAATTGTTATCACTGGAAAAAACAATGTTACTTCAGGCTTTAATCACCAAAAAAAAAACAATGTTACTTGGAACTATTTGCAACAAAAATTTCTTCAAGTAACATGGATGCATGCTTCTCTGAGTTCACAACACTCTTTCCTTCAAACCCCACAACAAGTGCTACATAGGTACTCTCATTTGGAACCATTCCCCTCTGAACCATTATACCAATCAACTCACATGCTTTCTCAACATCTCCTACACTGCAATATCCATGTATAAGAGTATTATACAAAACCACATCAGGCTTTAACCCGGCATCAATCAACTTATTAAACAAAACCATAGCATCACTCATCCTCTGCGCTCTGCAATACCCATGTAGCAAGGCACTGCACGTTACAACATCAGGTTGCACTCTAAGATCAGCCATGTAATGCCACAGAAGAAACGCTTCCTGAAAATCCCCCTTCTTCGAAAACCCACCAATCACATCAGTGAATGCCAACACACTTGGAACAAAACCCCGTCTCATAAGCTCATTGACAATACCATTTGCTTCATCAACATATCCTCTAACGACCATGCTATGTATCAAGATATTGTACGTTGCAACATCTGGAGAGACACCAGCACATCTCATTCCATCCATAACCTCAAAAACTTTATTCAGCTGATGGGTCTTCCCATACCCATTCATTAGATTGTTATATGTAACAACATCTGGCACCAAACCTTCCACTTTCATATTCCGAAACAAAGCTTCTGCATCACCTACATTTCCAAACTTGCTGCAAGCACCAATAAGCAGTGTATACGTAGTTAAAGACGGCGAGTTCCCGCTTTTCAACATAGCTCCAAAATACTGGAAAGCTTCATCTATTTTGCCTAATTTACAGTATCCACCTATCATAGTAGTATAACAAACACAATCAGGAAGGAGCCCCAACTCAAACATCTCCTGAAACACTGTCGAAGCTTTAAGCATGTCTCCCTCAGTGCATATTTTGCCCAGAAAGCTACTGTACACAAAAATGTTTGGTCTAGGACGAAAATAATGAATGAGCTTAACTGCTTCCTCTGGCTTCCCTGCCTTACAGAACCCATCTATAACACAACTCACTGATACAGAATCCTGAGAGATACCAAAGAGTCTGAGATTAAACAAAACTGAAGTCGCTTCTTTTAAAAACCCTGCCTTAGATAGTCTATCAATGAAAATGGTAAATGCCACAATGTCTGGTTTGATTCCAAACTGTTGTTTCATCCCCATAAGCAGTTCCCAAGCTTTATCAAAACTACCGTCAGAGCAGTGTTTACTGATGAATAAGCTAATCACAGCGGCATTAAGATGTCTTCCTCTACTAATCATGTGCTCAACAAATTCCCTAGCTAACTCAAAACCGTGAATCCGTAGAATCTCATTGAGCAAGGAAATACAAACCCATCTTGAAGGAAAGATACCAATCTGATCCATCTTGTAAGCTAGTTTGATGGCCAAGTCTACTTCCCTCTCTTTAACACAGCAATCAACAAGCATGCTAAACACAGTTTCTAAAACCTTACGATCACCGCGAGTTTCGAAAAGATCATTCATGACTAAACTTAGTGATCTCTCTTCTCCATCGGATCTCTTCACCAGATGGAGAAGCATGTCAACAGCTCTAAAATTCATGTTTCCAGATACCAAAATATGAACCATACGGCAGATAGACCTGGTAGAAGGCTCAGCGCCAATCCAAAACTCTGACCACCTGAAGAAGTAAAGAGCAAGAGAAGCATCTGAAGTTTCTGCAAATAGATCATCCAATATCCTAATGACTTTGTATTCATCAAGGTCGATACTAAACTCACTCTCAAATCTATGTATCCAATTGTGCTTTATAAGCACGTTCCTGATAGTTTCAACACAAGTATCTGAGACTTCAATGTGGTTCAGAGAGTGTTCACCAAAAGGCTTACTGGAACAAACTCCAGTGTTTGAAGCATAATGTCGTGATGCAAAGTGGGTTTTATTAGCAGAAGTGCTCTGAAGTCTTGGGTTATAAAGAGGCAGAGGAGGAAAGAGAAAGGTCCTAGACCAGATATAACGAAATGCCTTAGTTTGATTTAACCCAGAAGACTTGATTATCGAGCTTGAAACCCACATAAACAGGGACTGGTTTTCAGAACCCAGTAGTAATCTGAAGAAGAAAAGAACAAACTTTATGACCAAAAAGAACTGGTTTTGACAGAAACCCAATTTCTCAAGGACTATAATCAAAATTCGAGATGTTGTACCTTTTGTTACAGTTTGGATTTTAGATGCAGAAGCACTCACGATATGGGGGAAGCTTACACTGACTTCTCTGTCTTATAATCGTCCGTCCTCTGGGGAGTAACCAGAAATAGGTTACCAAAGCAGAGAGTGATGTGAGAGAGCTAATGTTGAAACTAAAGTTAGGTATTTTAAAAATTCTTAGATAAAATATAATTCATTAATTAAAAAAACTGTAAGTATACAAAATGAAGAAAATACTTTGGTAAGACAAGTTTCTGTCTAAAAATAATGGGCAAATCTCCAAAATTGTACATTTATAAATTTATGTCGCAAAAATAACTCTAAAAACTAAAATGACCAAAATAACATTTTATTTTTTAAAAATTTTTATTTTTTTTTATTTTTCAAAAATTAAAATCATATTCCTAAAACTCCACTCTCCAACGCTAAACCCTAAAATCTTAATTTTAAAACCTAAACTCTAAACCCCTTAAAACTTTTTAATGCTATTCAAGTCATTTTCTCAAAAATAATACTTATTAATCTATATATAATATATATATATATATATAATTATATATAAACTATATATAGCAGTTAGAATAGTATGTCAAAAAAAATATATATATATATATATATATATATAAAAGTTAGAATAATTTAGTATATGCTTGATAAATGATAGTTTTGTGATATTTACCTTATATATTATTTTGTGAAAAAATATTTAATGATATTAAATAAGATTGCATCATGAAATCATTCTTTTGTTTTCTATTTAAACCATTCTTCCAATCAAAATTACAAAAGACAGGCCATGAACTTTTAAAACCCTAATCGGCTTTCTTTCTTGTCTTAAGTGAAAGCCAAAACCCATTACGCCCCTCGTCTCTCTCCTTCCCTTCCCATCCCATCGAATCGAAGAAAATGGTAAACTCACTTCCTTCTCCTCCTCCGATGATTTCATAGAGATCACTTTCAACTTTATACTCATGGATTGTGCTTGCTTGTCCGGTTACAGGTTTCAAGAGATACGTCGAGTTGCTCTCGTAAACTTCGAAAAAGGACTACGGGAAGCTCGTCGTCATCGTCGATGTCGTCGACCAAAACTGGGTAATCTATCTCCTCTTTCCTTTCCCTTAAGACCCCCTTTAACATCAGATTAGGTTGATTTTTTTTTCGTTTGTGTTGATCTTCAAATTTTTTGTTCATGTCTACTTGTTGTGTAGGCTCTTGTGGATGCCCCTGACATGGAGAGAATCCAGATGAATTTGAAGAGGCTTTCTCTTACTGATATCGTCATTGATATCAACAGAGTACCTAAGAAGAAGAATCTCATTGAGGCTATGGACAAAGCTGGTGAGTACATACGTTACCTATGTCTGGCATTGGAACTGGGTCATCTTTAACGTTTATAACTTTTGCAGATGTGAAGAACAGGTGGCAGAAGAGTTCATGGGGAAGGAAGCTGATAGTACAGAAAACAAGAGCTGCCCTCAATGACTTTGATAGGTTCCAGATCATGTTGGCCAAAATCAAGGTCACTTTCCTTCTCTGTTTTACTGCATCCAATGCTCCTTTACCCACCATGTTCAAATAGCTTGTTATATCTTTTAAAAATGTCAAACCTTAAAACCAGTTATATGATTCTAATGCTAAGCTCATAGTCAATTACTTGTCTTGTTCACTCTATTAAATGGATTCTCATGTGTTGTAATCTGCAGAGGGCGGGTGTTGTGAGACAGGATCTTGCAAAGCTCAAGAAAGAGATCACCGCTTGATGGGGTTTTTGAGATGATCCTACGCCTTGATATTTTATCTTTTGTACAAGTTTGAAGAATTTTGCAAATGATAATTCAGAACTGAAACCTCTTTTTTTTCTGGTTTAGACATTTATTGCCCTCTTTTGATGTTGTATCTGAACTCTAAAATCTAAACTGAGTTATCTATAAGTATCATTAGGGGTGTCAATATGGATTATAATTAATGGACTGGCCCAATCCAAACCAATCTATGATCTTAATGGGATAACATATTGGATGTTAATGGATTAATGTTTTTTATGGTTTAGTGGGCTTAATGAATTGGGTAAATATTTGGTTTGGATCAAATAGATTTATGGGTTATCCAATCCAATATATTTTTACACAAAATCTTTTCTCTCCGTCTTTCTCTCTCGTTTTTTTTTTCTTCTCTTACGAGATCTCTTCATCGACATCGATTTTGGGTCATTGAGTTTTGGACCTTTTGGTTATCGATCTCTTCCTCGACATCGATCCTTCCTCTTCCTCGACATCGATCTTGTGAGTCAAACTCTATTTTTCTTCAATTTGGTCTTATGGGTCACTGATTTTGAGTTTTGAGTTGTTTTTTGCGTTTGTGTTATATAGGAAAAAATCAAGTTTCTGTTTTGTTTCTTAGCGTCAGGAGCATCTCAGAGCATCTCAAATTAGGTAACGTTATCTTATGGAACTCTGTCTTATGGGCTTTCACGCTTTATCTTATTTGACTTTAGCTAATAGACTTTCTTGTAGTAGCAGTAATGATGAACAATGAAGACTATCCTCCAACTAGTGGTGGTCAATCATCAACAAGTGCCTCACAATCTGTTCTAGTAAGTTCTAATCATTCAAAAAGAACTAAGAGATAAACTGCTTGGATTATTTTATAATAGAAAAAGATGAGAATGGCCAAGAGAGAGCGTATTGTAAAAAATGTCCAAAGAACTATGTGTGGTTGCCAACTAGTGAAACATCCAATTTGATACGTCATGCTGGAAAATGCTCAAATGGTTTGGATGTTGAAAGAAAGGAAAGGAAGTTTGATGATAAAGTTTCTAGGGAAAAGTTTAATCTAGTGATTATTAGACATAATCTTCCTTTCCTTTCTGTTGAATATGAGGAACTTAGAGATTATTTTAGTTATTTGAATCCAGATTATAAGTGTTATACTAGAAACACTGCTGCCGCTGATGTAGTTAAAACTTGGGAGAAAAAAAAACAAAAGTTGAAGTCCGAGTTAGTAAATATTCCTAATAGGGTGTGTTTGACTTCTGATTGTTGGACTGCTTCAGTGTCTGGTGATGGATATATAGTTTTGACGGCACATTATGTTGATCATAAGTGGATTTTGCACAGTAAGATTTTGTCATTCTGTAATCTGCTTCCTCCACACATTGGCGATGCTTTAGCTAGTAAACTCCATGAGTGTTTGAAAGAATGGGGAATTGAGAAAAAAGTGTTCACTTTAACTCTGGACAATGCTACAACTAATAACTGCATGGAAGAAATTCTGAAGGATCAGCTGAATTTAGATGATAATCTGCTGTGTAAAGGAGAGTTTTTTCATGTTCGGTGTTGCGCACACATCTTAAACCTCATAGTACAAGATGGTTTAAGTGTTATTAGTGGTGCATTATCTAAGATCAGAGACACTGTGAAGTATTTTAAGGCTTCAATTGCTAGACGAATAGCCCTCTCAGATTGTGTAGAAGGTAATGATGAAGTGGTTATGTCGTTGGATGTTCAAAACAGATGGAACTCCACTTACTTGATGCTTGAGAAAGCTTTGAATTACGAGCGTGCTCTAAATATGTTTAAAGTAGTTGACAAAGTCTACAAGCATTGCCCTTCTAGTCAAGAATGGAAGAGGGCAAAGATTATTCATGAGATTTTTATGCCGTTTTACTCTATTACCACTTTAATGTCTGGGACAAGCTATTCAACATCTAACTTATATTTTAGACATATTTTGAAGATCCAGTGTCTATTGGAAGTGAATAGAAGCAATGATGATAGTGTCATTCGAGACATGATTCCTCAGATGAGAAAAAAGTTTGATAAGTATTGGGAGCAATATAGTGTTATTCTTGCAATGAGTGCTGTTTTGGATCCTAGGATGAAATGCAGGCTTTTGAAGCGTTGCTATGATGAACTTGATTCGTTTACTTCAGAAGAGAAGATAAAACGCCTCAAGGAGAAGCTTTATGAGCTCTTCGAAGAATATAGGAAAAAGTTTCCTTTGACTCTTGTTGTGAGCTCTTCAAGAGTTGATTCTCGTGTTGCAAAACGAGGAAGAGGGACCATGGGGTTTCAAGATGTAAGTTCTTAGTTTTACTTAATGATGTAACTTTTGTATGTCTCTGATTATTTTGGCATATGCTTTATCTCTCTGATATCTTACTTACTCCTCTGTTATAGGCGTTGGTAACAGATTAAAAATTTCAAATGCAGGATTTGTTTGACTTAGATGATGTTCCAGATTATATGGAAGAAGGAAAGTCGGCTCTAGATATATATCTAGAAGATCCAAAGTTAGATATGAGGAGTCATCCTAATCTGAATGTGTTGCAATATTGGAAAGAAAACATAAATCGCTTTGGTGCACTTACGTACATGGCAGTGGACATCCTTAGCATCCCCATCACCACTGTGGCATCTGAATCTTCATTTAGTATTTGCTCTCGTGTGATAGACAAATACCGGAGCCGTTTGTTGCCAAGTAACGTTCAAGATCTATTGTGTATCGTTCTTGGATGTATGGTTACATGCTCGACGATGAAGGTATATATGCTTTTGTCTTATAAAACTTATCATGTGTATAAATGTGTAACAATATTGTCTTGTAAAATTTTAGACGAAGGTGAGACGGTTGTTATTAGACAGAGTCCAAATGATGTGAAAGATGTGATCACACATCCAAAGGAGTAAGTCTCATTTATTGTTCTTGATCTCGATAAGTTTTTGTGGTTCCTTTAGCTTAGTGTTTTTGTTGATGAGTCTATGAGAATAGTTCTTGATCTCGATAAGTTCTTGTGGTTGCTTCTTGTGGTTCCTTTAGCTTAGTGTCGGTGAATCTTCGTCTCGTGCTGGAGACTCACCATATGAGCTAAAGTTATCATCTTCGGATGACGCACCATCTGAGTCGTCGAACATATCAAATCGGCTATCAAATTCACTGTCTTCTTCGCCTTCTTCAATTTCTCCAACATCTTTCTGTTTTTCTCCGTCCAAGATATTCTCATTGTCGTTATGTTCCTCCTCCAAACTAAAACCATCGTATCTAGATTCAACTTCTGAGACTTCTGCTTCTGAGCTGAAACTGTATAATATATTACTCTTTTCTCCCGCTCCGTCTTTCCGGCTGATCTCATCATCCTCGTTCTCTGTAATCTCTACA